GTGCTTTTGCCCCCACAAACAATTGCCCCACAACTGGATAGTAAATGAAAAATCTGGATTTGTGTGAGTGTTTCATGGCCTACTTTGAAAGCAACACTTGTCCTAAGAGACACAGAATCCCATCTGAATTGTCTGTTTCCAAATTCAGTGTCTGTTCCTATTCGCTGTGAGGTTAGATCACCCATTTTTAGCTATCAGCACAGAAAGCAGGGGTATGGAAAACTGCATGTTGAAGGCCTGCACAAAATATTTCTAAATAGAATTTAAAGCATATTGTAGCTGTTGCTAAGGAACATATATTTCTTCTTAAAGATAAGAGCATTGTCTTTTTTGAGTGCGTATATACAGTAATCCCTTGTTTCAGTTTATTTAGAATAAATGTAGGGAGAGGTAGTTATTCACTGTACCTGAAAAGCTCAAACAACCAATCTCAGTTTCCAAAAATGGGGAAATAAAAAAGATGATTTTGCTACTGAATTATACTTATCCTTAATTACAATGTGCATTATTGCTTAGAATTGAAACACCTAATCAAATCTAACTCAGTCATCAAAATAATCCTTCTCTATTTGGTAATATTCCTCATTGTTTACATTAATTTTGAATAAAGGTTTTTATAATTCTGTAGGTGATTGCACATTTGTGTTTAAATATTTTGTATGTAAATCAAACTCCAGTAAGGAAGAAAAAACTTGGAAAGCTAACGCCTTCTATATTTGCTTTAGCAAGTGACAAAGATTTTACTTCCAATACTAAAGATGACTGCAATGGTATTTTATGATCAGCACTGAAGACGTGTTATAAGTGCAATTATTATTAATAATAAAAACAGTTTTAAGCAAAACACAGATGTTATAGTGTAGCTGTTAGTAATAAAAAGTCTGGAATGCTGCTTAAAATTTAAATACAAATCAAAAATATGAAATAACCTGTTTTGTACAAATCACATTGTTTCTAGGTTTTGCATTGATAGGATTACTCTAAAATTGATCTAATTCCCATTACTATTGCTATAACATTACTTACTTTTTGTTACAGTATGAAATTACTAATTGCTTGAAAATGCTGGCGGAAGAGGAAAAGATATGCAAAGCTCAACTTTTCACTTGAGAGTTATTGACCAAAATAAATATTTTCCGATCAATGCAAGGACCCTAGTGCAGAATTCTGGCAGCGGACTGTTTTCTTGTGAGTGGACACCCCAAAAGTGCATTCTGCTATTCAGGACAGTATGGCACCTACTGTTGATTTCTTGTTTCTGTTCAATAAGTTTAATTACTGGGCTCAAAGAAACATGCTTTGGGAATATTGGTAAATTGAAAAGAGAAGCTTTAAGACTTGGCATTCTGGGATATTCTTAGTATTAGCTAAATGACTAATGAATTAATTTTGTTTCTTAAGAAATACAAAACAGTATTTGACAAGGCCCGGTATTTGGTATTAGAACCCTTCTTATTCTCTCTTCTGTACAACTGCTGTGATTTGAGGCTGTTGACATTACATCCCAATGTGGACATCTATCCATCCATTTTCTAACTGTTTCATCCAATTCAGGATCAAGGGGAAGCCAGAGCTCTGCCTATGCAGAGTCCAACCTAGACTGGCCCCCAGTCTGGGGCACACACACAGAGAAACACACACCTATGGTGCCACCATGCCACCAGCAGTCAAAGGCCATGACAATGTACCACAGAAACTTCTAGAATATAACCTATTATTAGTACCTGAGACCATTCCAGGTGAAAGTGAAGATAGCAAAAAAAAAGACCAATCCCATTAAGGTCTTATAGTGATAGAAGGTATTAAGAGGTAAATAACGCTGTCTAGACTTTTGTAATTGGTGGAGTCTCTGTGACATCAGGGCTGGTCAAACAAGGCAAACCATGCATTGATTTATTACCTTGTTAGCTCAGCTGTACAGTATGATGGAACAGCACTGTTTTCGTTTTCTTGCTTTGTTCTTTCTAAGAGAACTGGCTTGTGTAATAAAATTGCTCAGCCTTCACTCTGCCAGACCCTGGGTTGCCTCCTGACAGGTGTTGTGCATTGTGAGTGTGAAGCAAGTAACTGTACAATGGAGTACACATTTTTCACCGTGTAAAAATAATCAGTCTAAAAACAACCAATGCAAGTGATTCTACTACTTTTTCATTATTTAAATTCATTGGGTACAAATTACTGTTATATTACTGTAGTATATATTTGTATGTACAATATTTATTTGTATAAAACAACAATTTTGGATCGTTAAAACTAAAAGCACCTTTTGTTATTTTCATATGTTTCTTATTCTATATTCTCATTTGTTCTTTGTGAACAATAGTGCACTTACAGTAGAGACAAAAAGTGAATTATACTGTACATGCCTAGGCAATTTCCATGCCATATCGGTTCATCAGGCCAGAGCTTATCCTGGCATCTGTTGTGTTAAGCAGGACAGTCCAGTAGAGGGATTACCTTCAACAATGCTCATCCACATTTACACAGCTGGGTGGACTAGAGTAATTGGGGTAACTCAGGGTACAACAGGTTCACAGTGGGAACAAACCCACCAGTCATGAGACCAGAGAATTACCCACAACACTTTAAGGAGGATTTTCTTTTTTATATATAGTGGATTCTGACTTAGAGATGCTCAGTCCTGAACCCATGGCTGATAGCTTTGCCCCATTATACATCTTTACAATATAATAAATCTGAGTACATTCATACAGTTTTAGTGCCCCACCTGATCCATGTGGTGTTTTTTGGTACTAGCTCAAGGCTGGTGTCACTGTTAGGGAGGAAGATTCCTGCAGCACCCAGCCTCTCAGAATGCTGCTGCAGCTTAGCCTTTCCAAGCCCTGGCATTTCGTCAGTCTAAACTCTATCATTGCAGTGTCTTTAAGTGCTGTGTTGATAATGTAAATGAAAGACACTTGGAAATGATACAGATAGCACAAATAACAAGGCTTGGATTAATTTTTTAGAAGAAGTTTGTGTATGTGGAAGATGGTTGAGCCATTTCTCAAAACTATCCACCGAATACATACAGTACCAATCCACAGACATTCTCAAAAGGCATTTAGAATTCATAGCCACTCCTGTCTTGTGACTTCACTGCTAAATATACTCTGCTGTTTTCACTTGCTTTCGACACCCAGAGATGAGCTTGTTCCTGAAGGCTGCTTCATGTTTGCCAGAAAAATTAGCCATTTATCTGCTCTTCCTTTATGTTGGCTTTGTAAACAATTTCAGTATTTCCAAGCATCAGCTGTTTTCTCTCTGAATACATTACATGTAGGTATTGTAATCAGTATTTATGGAATTAAATTTAAAGTATATCTGCTATTCCAGTGTGGAAAATAAATTCAATTTAGCACAATAATGTATCCACTAGTGAAAGCTTATCAATATTTCTTGTGAAAATTTGACACCTACTGCTGAGTACTTTGATACATCTGAGGAGCAGGCACATGAGATTGTTAATGGGTTACATATTTTATCGTGCTTTTTTTCTTAAGCAAGCAATCAAAATGCATTTCACACCATGACCTCTATTTCTGTTGAAGGAGGTGGTGATCATTTGTTTAACTTGACCAAGGAAGGAAAATAGCTTTGAGTACTACTGGCTGGCAGGACCAATGTTTATCACAACAATTTAATCTGAGTAACCTTGAGGAAACTCAAAGCACATACTGCATCATCCATGTTGTAAATAAAAAGAAGCAGAGTAAACTGACCCAGAAAATCTAAAGAGCAAATTATATGTTGAAAGTGGAAAAAAAATCTAGATATATAAATGAATCTTAAAAATGCCAACTGTTTGTGTCTCTATGACATTTGGGCAGGAAGTTCTATACATAAGACTACTGTAGAGCCTGGTCTTCTGCAGAAGGAAAATA